GGTGAAGTTCACTGGCCAGATCAAGGGTTCTGGTAGAGCTGAAATCTGTCTAAATGTCCCTAAGTTCTTCTACAGCTATCCTAAGCTAAATTCATTATTTAAGAAGAATAGTAAGCTTGCTAAGCAAGCTCCTTCAAGAAAGATTCTCAGTAACCCTCTACCAGGTTGCTACTCCTAAGATGAAGAATTAGGAGAAAACACTCATGGGGAAATACGTGCATCCTCCTCAGGGAGTTGGGGGAATGGGAGATACACTGATGCCCACCGGCCTCCCGTCCCCCTTCCCCTGGGTTCATTGTCATAAGTTAGCAAAGGAAAGTGTCAGTGCACCATGTTCCTTCCTTAGGGAAAGAAATGGAGAATTCCTATCCTTCTACTTGGGACGTGTGGTATAAATGTTGGTCTAGTTATTAATACAGATGTTTTCCAAAAGATATTGTGTCGAACCAGGTTACCAGGAGGGTGTTATAGGGGTTCCTTAAGTGTTTGGGGTTTCATTTCTAAATTATATTTTTATGTCGGTTAAAGAAAACATGCTTGTCACATTCAAAGGGTCATATGCCCCAGTACCGGCCATAATGGAGACTGCCTCCCTATAAAGTTGGGTTGCTGCCAAACCCAGTCGGATGCACACCTGACAAAAAGGCTTGTCCTGATGTTTTGCTACAACAGAATATTCTTGGCTGCTTTTTACGGTTTCACAAGAGAACACTGTGAATAGCCATTGGCATAGTAGTGTCTCTGTTTATCTCTGTGAATGCTTTTGTTTTGTAACCCAGTGAAGACGGAAGTTGGGGTTAGATGAGGGGAGAGGGGGATGGACATTTCCCTCCCCTAGGGTCCATTGTGATGGTTGCTTCCCGCCCCCTCCAAATTTATTGAGGAATAATTGACAAATATAATTGAATATATTTAAAGTACTCAGTGTGGTGCTTTGATATACATATGCATCATGTAATGATTGCTAAGACAGAGATAATTAACACTTCCATCACCTTTCATAGTTAACTCTCTCTTTCTCTTGATTTTTGTTTTGTGTTTTTTGTTTTATTTGCTTTTTGGTATGAATGCTTAAGATCTACTCTCAATAACTTTCAAATGGACAATATTGTATTATTAATTATATCACCCTGATGTACACCAGAACTTCTTATAACTGAAAAGTTATCTTTGACCTGTATCTCCCCATTTCCTCCTCCCCTCCTAACCCATAACAACCCCCATTATATTCTGTCTCTGTGAAATCAGTTTGTTTTTTTTATATTCTGCATATTAGTGATACCATACAGTATTTATTTTTCTCTATCTGGCTTATCTCACCTGGCAGAATGCCCTCCAGTTTCATCCATATTGATACAAATGGCAGGATTTTCTTTTTAATGGCCCAACAACATCCCACATAGACACATATGCATTGTGTATATGTGCACGTGTATATATACTGCATATATTTTTTTAATGTGATGGTTTCTTAGCGTCTACATATAGGAGGGTGGGTGAGAGGCTGGGGTTGGTGAATTGGTGGAATTATTTGGTAGGAGCTTTGGAAGACTCTGGGAGAAGGCACAGTAGTTTGGTGTGAGCCCAGATAGTGTCAGTTTAGCTCAGTCCTAGGGAGGAAGCCCATGATCACTTCCTTGAAGAACCCCACTCATCCCTGCACAGATCCCAGCACTGTTTTCTGGCACTCTCTCACCTTCTAAGGGATGGATAGTTAGAAAATAACAGCTTGGTAGGTTGACTTCAACATGCTCTTTATAAATACAGACCAAGTGATGTTCCCCCAGTAGCTTTGTAAGCAGTGGATATGGCAGGAAGGAGCCACAGCGAAACAAGGGTACGGCGGCACAAGATGCTGTGGCTCCGAGCCCAGGTGGGGAATCCCTGGCCAAGCCACTGCACATCGTGCCACAGATGACTGGGTGCTGAGATCCTGGCTCAGTGCAGGTAGAGGTGGTTAAGCCATCGATAGTTGGATTATAGCTATTTAAAGAAAGTATCCTAAGAAATTTAAAAGGAACCTAAAAAAGCTATTGCCGTATGGTCATCACTTGCGGTTTTGAATCAGGGATATTTTGGTACTATATAATGAAAACAAGATAGAGAAAGAAATGAGATGCTGATGAGTATTCCATTTTGCGTGTATATGCATCAAAACAGCCTTGCTCTCATTGATTGGATTTATAATTAAATTCTATGCAGTTGGGCTCATAGAATTAAATCTATACATGAAAATTGTTTACTGAATGAGTAAAAATAAATTACTGTCCATATATTTTTAAGTACATATAACATTTCACTTGATGAAAAAGTTTCACTGATTTTTTTTTAAGTTTGAAAAATATGCAAAATTAGTACACATGGGAACCAGAGTAGCCAGGCAATTGCATTCTCCCCTTTTCCTCATCTAATACTTGTAGTTTGGGTTGTGGACCCTTTAACAGGTACTAATTCTATTAACTAGTATGGCTAATTAACCAGGATGGGAAAATAAAGGAACAACAAACCAGATCTGATACAATGAGGCATCACTATGTAGGAGTATGGAGGTAAATAAAGTACACAGGGAAAGGAAAAATGAGGAGAGAGATTGCAAAGAATCGATTGGAGACATAACTAAAGGTTAGCAGGTCCCCCTTCTTTCTTGCTCTCGTTCTCAAAACAGAAAGAGCAGATTGATTCATGCAGATATACTTTGGAATGCCAGAAAGGACGCCTCTTCTGGCACAGTATTGATAAACTGCCTGAGTGTATCAGTGGCATTTTCGTTTTCCTAGCCCTCAAGAGGAGTCAGGGAGTGGATTTTACCTCCCTGCCGCCCTGCCTAAGAATTGCTTAAACAGTTTGTGTGTGTGTGTGTGTGTGTGCGCACGCGCGCGCTCCACACCATTACCTGCTGGGTTAAAACGTTCCTTCTCCGGGGCTCGTCTGAATTCCACCATCAGATGGGTGCGAGGCGCAGGCTGGGCCCCGCTGAACTTCATTATTTAGTTTACCACTGTATTGTATCAAGAGAGCAACTACCGAGAAATGCTCTATGCCCACACCCCCATTTTCTTGGTGGGGGATCTATAGGATATTTGGCAAAATCATACAGAGGCGGAGCGGCAACGCCACTCTGTGTCTTCCAACAAACAGCCACCCTGCTGCTGGTGATCAGTGTTCCTGGGATGGTGGTGATTGAAACTTAGCACTCAGAGGGACTTAATTGGCACGCAGACCTGTGAAGCATATGCCCCCACCACAGGTGAACCATCTGATAGACCTATAGGGTGCCCAGTACCTCACACATGCTCACATTTTGCTAAAGAAGCAAGTTCAGAGCAGGTCCTTGCAGGAAGCCTGCGTGGTGGTTCAGGAGAAGGGCGGCCCGAGAGCAGCACTCCACAGAGCTCTGCCTGTCTGGGTCACCGCAGCTCTTCATTCCCTTGAACTTGGAACAGGCCCGAGGTAGTGGAGTTCCGGTTTGCCTGCCGGGAAGGAGCTGTTGGGAATCTGCTCACGGATGTTCGTGCCTTCGGTAAATCAAGGCCTGTGCGAGCAGAGTGGAACCTGGAAGGATTGAGCACTCCTTGACAGCTCGCTGCCTTGGATTTCAAGGTTGGAATGTTCTATGCTCACTGTGACTAGAACCGATCCCTTGGCCTTCAGGGAAAATCCTGGAAATCGATGTCAACATGTTTCTGCTGAGTGGGAAACAGCAGGACTGGGCCAAATGTTCTCGGTTGTGTGAATCAGGAGAAATAAAAACCTTGACAGAAAACAGAGCAGACCTATTCAGTTCTCGACCTTACGTAAGAAGAGTGAATGGGGGGTGAGAATTCACTGGGCGGGAGCACACTGCTCTGTGGATTCTCCCATGTGTCCTAGGGCTCGTGCGTTCCAGGTAATGGGGGGCCCTGGTGATCTCTGCGGATGCTTAAGGAAGCAGCCATGATGGCCGTGAGGGTCCGAGGGACTGAGGAGAGGTAGATCCTCTGTCTGTCCACCAAGGTTATCTTTGGTGGGCTCCTCCTGTCCTAACTGGACCACGGACTACCAGGCCTCATCTGTACTGATGCTCTCCTCGGGCATCCGGCGAAATCCTGGGTTCCTAACAAATGTCCAGTGAGTGATGAATTCTGAAAGAAAGAGCTAAGTAGTTGAGTTTCTGAGTGACGCCGCGAGCAGCTGTGGGTTCAAGTCAGAGGAGGGTTTGCCGTGAAGCTAATGGAGCTGACGTGTCGGTGTCCCGAGACGTCTTTTTAAGTTTGAGTTCGTATGTTTATATTCTTTTCTTTACGGAGGGTTCCCCAAATTCTGTACGCTTCAGGACCCCATAAAACATAAATATGCTCCTGTTAAAATGTTCTTGCTGAGCCCTTGTGGAAGGCTGGACTCCATCCGGTGGCTTTCCAGGAACTGGAGAATCAGAAGAAATGGATAAAGCTAGTCCTACAAAGGAGAAGAAAGGGAAGGAATTGACATTAAAAACCCCATGCAGATTGAAGAATAATTAGCATTTATTACCTATTTTAACTTCTCACAGCAAGCCTTTCTGGGTGATGGCATTACTGCTCACCCTCTTAATAGATGGGAACACTGAGGTTCAGAGAAGCGAAACAACCTTCCCAGTGTGGTACAGCTTCTAGGGCTGGGACCCGTATCAGGGACCTAACTTTCTCCCGACCATCTGCCCAGGGGATCTCTTGCAGGGTCCCTGTTTGACAGCTCTGCTAGCCTTCCCTGAAAGCCTTCAGGCCACCAGGGTAAGGAATGCCTGGATGGGCAGGTAACTCACTGCAAGACAGAGGGAGAAAGTTGGGGAGGGAATCAGGCCTGAGCAGTTTAAAGGAAGGCCCTGGAAAACCCTACCCCAGTCGGTGTAAGTGATGCTGTAACAATTCATTCAATTATGTTAAGCACCCATTAAAGGAATCCTAAGTCCTCCCTTGGGCCATTTCAGTTCTATGAGATTGTAATTGTTTGAGACTAACCATGATTTCTTCTTTTGCCTTCAGGTGATTCTCATTTTGACAAAGCTCTATGACTATAACCTGGGGAGCATCACTGAGAGCTCGCTTTGGAGGTATGTAGATAAAGTGAGCTAATGGTTACTGTGTTACTTAAACATGACACCTGTGACTGCTGTTCCCCACCCTTTTATCCTAGGGGGATGATTTTTGGTTCTGTGTTCTCACTGCTTCCCTTTTGCTTTCAGTTTCCTTTACACATGGGTTGGGGTTTATCTCCAGGCAAGCCAGATCCTTACTTCTCTATAGGCCCCATGTTTTGGTCATAGGTCTTTTGCTAAACTGGTCATTAGGTTGTCTTTATGCATTTTGGTTCCCACAGTTCTCACTGATATGTGAGCTCGTTGGAGCAGAAACAAAGAATGGAGGTGTCTTTGCAGATGGGATCTACAGCACCGCTGGGTTGGCCGTCCCCGGCCACCCTGGCACTATAGCTTTTTCTCTGCGTCCATTCCTGGCCCTCAGCTCACTAGCACACAGGTGTGCACACACTCGCGTGCATGCCTTCATCTCTGGGATTCACACTGTATTGTCTCACACACGGAGTGTGTACAATGAATTCTTCAGACGAAAGCTATCGATCCCCTAGGATAAGACTAACTCATTGAACACCAGCAGCCATGTGCAGCTGGGCTGAAACTGGGGACTGGAATGTCCTCAGAAATCCAGCCCTCTCTTCTCTCCTTTTGTTCTGAGGTACTATATGTTCTTCTGTTTCTGTTTGTTGGTAAACGTCTGCCTTATTGGTCTCATCCTGCTGGGGTCTTTGCCAGTCTGTGTCATGTGTCTACACCTAAACCAACCTTAAGCACAGGAGGTGCTCGGTTGGTTAAACCTGGAATCTTGTGACAGTCCCTGAGCCAGGAAGATGATGAAGATGACCCCAGGGATAATATCCAGTGATCACTGGATTGGCATCTAGCCCAGAGTCTCATTGGTCGGTGCCGTAGTTACAATGATGTTTTTAATATGTTGACTATCACTTCTGATCAGCCATCCCTGAACACATACACTGTGTGCACAGACGAAGTGGGAGAGGTTATACTAATAACACAGAAGCTGGGAGTCATCTCTGGGCAGACACAAGTTGGTGGCTGTCCTCCACATAGGATCGGGGGTGGGAGGGGGACTTCATCCCCTATCAGTTAACATGACCAGAAAAGCCTAGTTGCTGGTCCTTGGGGTCAGGGCTGATGTCTAGAGAGAAAGAGTCCAATCTGCCCTTTGTGTCAGGGCTCCATCCCTGCTACAGTGAACAGTGACGGGGGGTGGGAGGGATTGACCTTGCTTTTCATAATAGCAGTTGGATTTCAGGGCCTGTCCCTGTAGGGCAATGCCGTTGTCACACAGAGGAGGGTCATGGGTTACAGGCCAAAGGAATCTACCCCACAAAAGGATTGTTTGCTAAATTTTCTTTTAACCCAATGGCTGTTTTCCAGTAGGCTTCACACTCTGTATAGGAAACCCCGAATAAATTGTTGTGTGCGTTAGGAAAACCCCAGCAGACTGAAGAGAGGGATAGAATCCGGTATGAGGTGTCCAGATTATTGAACTCTGCCCCCAACTAGAAGGTCAATTATGTAGAGATTTGGTTCCAAGGAAATAATGGAACTAAATTAAGGTGTGGGAGGGAGGTTTGGTAGGAGCCTCAAAGATTGCAATTCTTTAAGGCATTAAGGGCCTGACACTTGCTCTGTTGTTTAAATTCAGGACCCCTTCATCAGACTAGCTTAGGTTTCCTTGATAGATATCTCTAATGTATGTACATACATGAAGCACATCTGCTGTATAAAGCGTAGTTGGCATATTGGAAAATTAAAAGATATGCAATTCTGTCTCAGTGGACAGAGGCTATTAGCAGCCGTAAGTCAGTGGGAAGGGCAGGCCCCAGGGACAGGAGGAGCAGCTTGCCCTAGACTGCTGAAAGTCAGATTCACTGTGCTCCTTTCCCTCTCATGGGGCACTGTGACCCATGCTCCAGCCTAGGGAGGATGTTTTTCTCTCATTTCAAGGGGCGGGGGTGGGGGGGAGTTAGTAAAATGAAAATGACATCACACTCCAGTAATATCGGGCCTTTCTTCTGAAGGAGCAATCTCCTTGGGCTTGAGCTTTGAAAAGTGGCAGGAATCATCTGTGACCCTTCCATCTTAGGGTCAGTTTCAGTGGAGGATATATACATATACGTATGCACACAGAAATACCCCTGCTTATAGATACACACATATACACATATAATACACCTGCATATGTTTACTTTTTTGATCTGTCCACGGTAGTCATTTACCATGTCTGCCCCATGTTACATGTCTCATTTGTGGCAAACAACTACCATGGGTGCTCTATACCATTAGAACTATTGGTTTAATACTTTGATAGAAGAATCCACGCCTTAATGAATATATAATTTATTAAAGAAAAGAGGGAAAGAGAAAAGAAAAATATTTAGAATACCTTATAAATGCTTTGATAGGGCGCCTGGGTAGCTCAGTGGGTTAAAACCTCTGCCTTCAGCTCAGGTCATGATCCCGGAGTCCTGGGATCAAGCCCCATGTCAGGCTCTCTGCTCAGCAGGGAGCCTGCTTCCCCCTCTCTGCCTGGCTCTCTGCCTACTTGTGTTCTCTGTCTGTCAAACAAATAAATAGAATCTTTTAAAAAAATAAATAAATGCTTTGGTAGGGCTTACGTTTTAGGGTGGCTCACAATGACCATGTTTGGTCTTTAAGGAATCTCTTTGGGGTGTTAATATGGAAGAGGAGAGAGAGAGGTCTGGGTTAGCCCTGCTTGAAGTAAACTAGTGTCAGCTGTGGACTCGTTTTCTCCTACGTCAGTCTTTTTTTTTTTTTTTTTTCTTTTAAGATTTTATTTATTTGAGAGAGAGAGAGCTAGCGAGAGAGACAGAGCTAGCAAGAGAGAGCTTGAGTGCGGAGGAGAGGGAGAAGCAGGCCCCTTGCTGAGCAGGAGCCCAGTGTGGGGCTCTATCCCAGGACCCTGGGATCATGACCTGAGCAGAAGGCAGGCAGACACTCAACCAACTGATCTACACAGACTCCCCTAGTCTTAGTGCTTAAAACTGGGGGCTTGCTGGGGACAAGCCGGATTTTAGGTCTTCTCATTACATCCCTAGCACAGAGCACTGGACTTAGCCCATGGACGATGCCCAGTAAGCATCTGTTTTTGGACAGACCTGTGAATACTTAAATTTCATATTCTTTCTTATTCATTTATTCAACAAAGATGTATTGATTAACTCCTATAGGTCTTAGATTGTTCTGGTCCAGGGAGGGGAACATGGGTACGTGTACATAGATCAAGAGTATGTAAGCTCTGTCTGTCCTTCAGGTGTTCATTGTCTAGAGGGGGTCAGAGGTCTGTGTGGACAGTTCAAATGAGAGTTAAATGTACTTGTACGGAAGCTGCCGTCTGTGATCGTATTGGATCGGGCACTTGGGCAGCCACCCAGAGCTGCCAGCTCCCAGAAGGAGATCAATCTCACGTAAACAAAGTGTCATACAACCTTAAGTGTTGTAATAAAGACACGAGAGAAGCATTGCTTCTTTTTGCTCATGTGTATATATTCTCTCCTCAACTAGATTTTAAATCCTTAAACCCAGCACCTTTCTGGTTTAATGATAATGGCAGTGATGCTGGTGATGATGGTGATAACGACAACAATAATAAAAAGGAACTTTTATTGGGTGGTCACTATGTGCCAGGCATGGAATGAAGTGCCACGCATGGAGTATTATATCCTCTTACTTCATTTTTATGGTGTGCTCAGGGTCATACAATTAGTAAATGATAGGCCATATACGTTCAGGGGTGTTAGTTAATAAACTTCAATCATTTTACCGCTTACCTATCTTCTGGAGTCCCCTCTGCCTTCTGGTGACTCTTTCCGTACCTAAGCAAATAAGCAAACAGAATCTTAATCATAAATCTATGAAATAAATGAGTTTTTAAAGCACTGTGACATTCTAAGCAGCTTATTACTATTCCAGAAAAATAGTGGGCAACAGGGAAAGGGCTTTTTGTCCAACAAAGAGACACAAGCAGTTCGCAATGGAGCCCTTATTCTTTACAAGTTCCTTCCACTGAACAGTGAGTTGGGGTTAAGTGGCAAGTGCCATGGGGTTTCAGAACAGAAACAAGGCCAAGAGGCACCTGACCTTGGAATGATGTCCTAGAGCTTTGCACCTCGCTGGACCGACCAGCTCCGGATGACGGGGTAAGATGCTGCACCAAATTGGGGCACCTGGGTGGCTCAGTGGTTAAAGCCTCTGCCTTTGGCTCAGGCCATGATCTCAGGGTCCTGGGATCGAGCCCCACATCGGGCTCTCTGCTCGGCGGGGAGTCTGCTTCCTCCTCTCTCTCTGCCTGCCTCTCTGCTTACTTGTGATCTCTGTCTGTCAGATAAATAAATAAACTCTTTAAAAAAAATAAAAAAAAAAAAAGATGCTGCACCAAATTAATGAGCTTCTGCTCCCAGTTGGTCTTGTCATTGATTACACCTTACTCTTGGAGCAAGTTGTTGATTTTGTTTTGTGTTGTGTTGTTGTGCACTCAGGGAGTCCCACCGAGAGGAAAGGGGGATGATCTGACGCAGAACAATTAACTACACCTCAGGATCTTCTCCACATTACAGTGGATTAAGCTTTGAGATTCTGCAGAGCTGCTGGTTTTACCATATTGGAGCAAGATAAGCTTAAAGGTTGAGATAAATAAAATGTCAAAATCTAGATACAGTATCTCTGAGAAGAAATATATTCATCTTTTTCCCTGTGTGCCAGGGGGTAATCAGCACTTTGCTGGAAGAGGCTTAGCTGGTTAGAAAGCTCTAGGCAATTCTGGAAGGAGCAGGAAGGATAATCTTAAAGGGACAGGAGCCTGTAGTGCATGTGTCCCAGAGCCTGGCTGACCTGGCAGACTTCTCTTCAGATCCGGGGCACCATTCCAGATTCAGCTGGAGCACAAGCAAGCATCCAAACACATATTCCAGTTAGGTACTTTAGGAGTCATAAAGTCATAAAGTCACCTGCTTTCTGGGGACACGGAGCGT